ACTCCAAATGATGGTTGTGCAATTCATCAGGATGGGGAAATAAGGAAAGAGTGAAAAATAAGTTTAGGAAGCAAATGTTTCTATTTTGGATTTGTTAAAGCAAAGATGATCATGTATTTGAGTGGAGGAATCAAGTAGACAGATGGACATAGCAGCCCAGAGCTGGTCGCATAGAGCTTAGCAGGAACATTTAGGACTATTGTTGTTGTATAAAAGCTATATGAATAGATGGGAACACCTAGGAGAGACCACTAGGAAAGAAAATGATGTAAGCCCAAGCCCTGAGGAAGGCCAGCACCAGAGGCCAGGTAAAAGAAGAGGAACTTACAAAGTAACTTGAGAAGGAACTGCCAGGGCAGCAGGACAGAGAGCAGGAGAGTGGAGTGTCATGGCAGCCGGAGTCCAGCTTGCTTCTGGGAGTGGTCAGCTGTGTGACGTGAGGTCAGATAAAATGCTGAGATGAATACAGAGCCATGTCCTCTGGATTTGACAACAGAAAGATCGTTGGTGACCTTGACTAGAGCAGATTCACCCAGGGGTGGGTCTGGGAGAAGGAAGACAGTTTGGAATAAAAGGCTTTTTCCTTTCTGATTTCAACTATTGGGCCTGGGGACTTTGTTTGGACAAAGGAGCTGCAGAATTCCCAACAGGCCCAAGTGGCTGATTTCGTCTTTCCAGGATGTGTCTGTTTTAATTCTAGTTAGAATATCTCAGACAGGGAGGATGTGTGGAACTTGTCCTGTACAGTGACTTCATATATGAACATGATCATACGCATTAGCCAGTGGTCAGGTTCAAGAAAAAATAGAAAGGGAGGAAGACGAAAGGAGAGAAGGAGGGAGAAAGAAAGAAAAAAAGAGAAAGAGAGAGAGAGAAGGTTTAAAGAAATGAGAAGTAACTGTGATTAATTCCTCTGGTTATTGTGTGTCAAGATTTCATGAAAACTGGAGTTTGACATGTTAGCCAAGGCCTCTTCCTGACCACCACCGTTTGTCACTTTGATGAGGCAGGTGGCACGGCAGGTGAGGAAGGGGCAGCCTGCCGCCTGTCCCTGGTGCTTGATGGGCCTTTGTGGGCTCAGTCTGGTGCAGGTGCTGCATGTATAGCTCTGAACTGGGGAATTCTTGTCCCCCAAAATGAAAACTATTTGCCATGACCTTCACTGCGGGGTTCAGGATCTGAAGGAGGGGCCAACGCACAAGTGAAAATACTATACAAGAAATATTAATTTAGGAGGCACTGGGGGTCAGGGGGAGCCTCTTTCTTTTTCTTTTCTTTTTTTTAAAAAAAATATATTGTATTGAGTTTTTACAGAGAGGAAGGGAGAAGGATAGAGAGTTAGAAACATCAATAAGAGAGAAACATCGATCAGTTGCCTCCTGCACACTCCCCACTGGG